CTACATTTCTGTAATGTGTTGAATTACAAATTACATTCATGTCATGTTGCATTGCCTTTTTTTTTTTTTTTTGTTTGTTTAGTTTGAAAGTAATCCGTGGCGAGAGGGGAATTTCTCTAATTGGTCCATTGAAGCAATGCAAAGCAGGAAAGTACCATTAGCCCCTCCTTCAAAAAGAAAAAAAAGGCGGAGCGATTCTGCATCATCAGCAGCAGCAGCATGCCCACAATGGATTCCACAACGGAGGAAATGTGCCACTCATGGTCTTATTTATTCAAGTTAACTGGTTCAAAAAATGACTTGTTGAGATTTGATAAAGGACGATGGAGGCAAATTTACAGCTTCTGTTGTCACGATCTGTGATGATGCACAGAATCACAACAAGTGTGAACAGTGTCACAGAGGGTCGACACAAACTGCAGCATTGTTCACTAAAATCGCACACCATTGATGTGTTTAAAATTTACATACAGTAGGCACACTTCATAATATTGTAGACCATTAGGGAATACATTAAGCAAGTACTTTTACTTTTAATACTCTAAGTACTTTTAAAAGCAAGTACTTACTAACTTTTACTCAAGTAAAAACGTTGATGTGGTACTTTTACTTTTATTAGAGTACATTTTTGTCTGTTTATTTGTACTTTTACTTAAGTACAGTGTTTGAGTACTTTCTCCACCACTGGCTGCAGCCTCGTCTTCCAGTTTTTAATTTTTGTTGATGCGTTTTGAAGAGACAATTTTTTGAAAAGCAGATCAAAGTAAATCACCAGAGATTTTCTAGTGAGCCTTTAAAGAGATAAGCTGCCATGAAGAACATTATTTTATCTGCCCTTSTTCCAAATTTGATAATGATTTGAAACATMGAAGTATGTTTTTTAAAATCTGGAACAGCGCTTGTTAAAGTGTGTTGACGCTCATCTTCGTCACTCGACACATTTAACACGCTGTCATTGGTTGAGGAGCTTTGTTTACAAAACAGATGTCCACATGGTTTTAAATTGTTTTAATTTTCTTACTTTCTAAGACACATTAAGTTGATTTGATGCTACAGTTTGCCTTGTATTATTATTTTATATGTTTTCTGCTACTTTTGCATTGGCTATTACTAAGTTTTATTAGTTTTTTAGGATACAAGATGCTTCCTACAGAACCAGAATGTGAATCTTTTCCTAAAATTTTATGGCGATATCTTGAACACTGAGGAATTTATGAGCAAAATTAGAAAACAGCAAAGTGAAATGGTCACATTGGTTCTGCTGTGAACGGCAGCAGAAAAACATGAGCTGATTTCACCTGAACAAACATCAATAACTTCCCTCATTCTTCAGATAATCACATGGTTTTGGTGTTATTTTGTCTGGTTTGAAATGTTCTTTTGGAATCCGCTGTCAGATTTAATGTTGGTGGATTAAAAAATTATCCACATCCCTATTTAATGCACTATTGTATTTGATACCATCTCTTTAGCTTTTGTTTTGTGTGCAGCACTTTGGCCAAAAGTTGATTTTAAACGTGTCATACAAATGCCATACTATAACAGCACTAAAGGTTGAAGACTCCTTGTATGAATGTATGAATGCATGTTGTTTGCCTCCTTTCATGCTGGAGTTTTACACTGAGATCAGTTTATGATGTGAACAGACAAAAGTAAAGCCTTAAAAAGAATAACCTATGGAACTGTGTTATGAATGGCTCTCAGCTACTATGAAAAACTTCATCTCAATATCTGTAAAAAAAAAAAAAAAAAAAAAAAAGGGGTGAAGCCTTATTTATGTTGGCTTAGGTTAATTAGCTGTGGTGGACCTGTTGAAGAGACTGATTGTGAAAGTTTATGAGTTGTAAATGTATCCAATGATTGCTATTGGTTAGTTTCACTAAAATCCATCCAGTGGTTTATGAGACACACAGAGTATAAATGTGAATACAAACAATAGGTTTAAGATAAATTATGCATGAAAGGCACATAAAGTTGAAGTTTTGTTTTCTTACCCTGTTGATGTAAGCTATCGCCTTTCCCGAGCAACATTATGTTCGCTGTCTCGGAACTGTCGGACATTTTCGGTTCAGTTTATTTTTTTAGGAGCAGTACAGCGTAAAAAAGGGTATATTTTGTTTTTTTGTACAGAAGTGACGCAAACTTCCTGAGTTCAATTGCGCGCGCCTACAAAACACATTTTTATTGGTTCATATATCACGTGGTCAGACCTCGAGATCGATCGGCTCTCGCGAGAACAGGCGCCATTACTATGTGTTGAATGTGGACATAAGAAGACTGAGTTTTAATTGTAAATTACAGCTTCGCTCCATCATGTTGCACATCAGTACATCAGAGCAGGTTTTTCAATATCATGTGAATGTGCAATGTTTAGTTACACACAAACATGATATTAACAGGTCTCTAAATGAGATMTTCARTGAGACAACCTGTATAAATAAAGGTCAAATAAATAAACAACAATAATACACTCCTGATCTAAATTTTAAGTCCAGTTGGAAAAATGGCAAGAATTCACATTTTTGCACTGTTGGCTTGTAAGAAGTTTCTAAATCAGGGCTTTAAAATGCAAAAAGAAGATATGGGAGGGAGAAAAAAAACATAT